AGCCTCAGGAACTTTTTTTTTTATTAAATCATAAACCCATAGATCATGTATACTTTAATGCATTTATAGGGTACAATGTGCTGGTTTCATATAGAATTATGCTTACATTCTATGCTTAGAATTAGTGCTTATATCACACTGGTAAATATATTCCTCATCTCATTTACTTAGTTATTGTGTTAAGACATTTATACTCTATACCAAGGGTCCTCAGACTTTTTAAACAGGGGGCCAGTTCACTGTCCCTCAGACCATTGGAGGGCCGGACTGTGGGCCCCAGGACAAGTCAGCTGCTAAGCAGGACAGGCAGCAAAAACACTTGGCAGGCCAGATAAATGTCCTAGGTAGGCTGCATGTGGCCCACAGGCCATAGTTTGAGGATGCCTGCTCTATACTAATAGATCCAACATATACCCTTGCATTATGCACCATAGGTGTGATCCCACCATTTACCTTCCCATCCCCCCTCCTTCATCTTGGGCTATAGTTGTGAACTATTCTTCATATGGAAGTGTGAGTGATTGTAAATTGGTTTCATGATAGTACTGAGTACATGGGATATTTTTTCTTCCATTCTTGATACTTTACTAAGTAGGATATGTTCCAGCTCCACCCATGGAAATGCAAAAGAGGTAAAGTCTCCCATCTTTTTTAAGGCTGCATAATATTCCATGGGATACATATACCACAGTTTATTAATCCATTCATAGGTCGATGGGCACTTGGGCTTCTTCCATACTTCTGTTTGTTTTAAGGAATGTTTATGATTGCTAAATTGAAGTTTTGGGAACTAAAAATTCCCTCACATTAGATTGTTAAGTAGTTCTCTGTTTCTTATCCTTCTGAATAATGTGTAAGAAATATAACTTAACTTCCAAATAAAGCAAAATTTCTGTGGCTGTTTTATTGGTCCATTTCAAAGTAGCATATGAAGAAAACATAGGGTCTAAATTAGTGTTGTGATGCCATCTATATCCCTTAAATTCTCTCTTCACAGTTTTTTTTTTTTTTTCCACTGAGTCTTAAGCCATATTTTATTTCAAGTGTCAGTAGCAGCCATATACATGCATCAGTCCTTTGAGGAATTAACAGTCTTCCACAAGTGTATGTGAAATTCTCACTTACGGAGTAAGTTTTCATTATTTTGATTTTACTTCCTATGCTAGTAATTCAGGTTAGCATTTAAAAGATTTCTGTATGTAAATGTAACTGTTGCCTCCTACATAGAAAACGTTTTTAAGTTCTTAAATATTTTTAAATATTTCAAGATCTGCAATTAAACTTAAAACCCAAATGTACAAGTTTATTACAATTGTTTTTATAGTTCCTTAATGAATTGCTAATATCTATTACGTAATCCTCTTTTATCCTTAAAAAGAAATTAGAGAAAAACACACAAAATGCTTTAAGTCTGCCGTTAAGTCTAATACTTTCTACTTACCAGATTTCCCTTGTAATGTTTTCTTGTGTACCTTTTTTCGTGGCATTCCTTCTTGACTGCTATACCCTTTCAGTTCTCCTTGGCTAAGCTCAAATCTTTGAGGTCCTGATAGAAGGGAAGCCCAACCAATATTTCTGAAAGTAGTTTCTGTAAAATACTAGTTATGTGATCTGTTATTAGATATCATGGTAAAAAGGGGTTCCCTGGTCAAGTAAGTTTGGAAAACTTGAATGATACATTTTAATTAGGTTTGCAGTAGTGTTTTTTTTTTTTAATTCGAACGATGTCTCAGGTCTTTAGTTTGCTAATATCCATTGTGAATATTCCAGACCACAGTCTACTGTGTAATTTTTTTTTTTTTTTTTGAGACAGGAGCCTCACTGTGTAATTTTTTAAACTTCTTTGATCATAGACCTCTTTTCAAGAAATATTTTATGGAATAAGTGATCCTTTATCTGTTAGCCTTTTTAAATATCCCATTAAAATAACTCAAATTACTATCCTAGTGTCCGCTCATATGTTTCGTAGGCTTCTTGAGGGAATTTTCTCTTTCTACTTCTTCGTCTGCTCTAACCTAATACCTCATTGGTCCTGCTTTATTTTGTCTAATGCACCCTGCTCTTCAATCTCTGCCCTTCTCTAAGCTTGCTCCTCCTTTCCTGATGAGGAGGAGATTCAAGTATAGTATAGGACAGGAAACAAATTAAAATTGGGCTTCTGACATCTTAAAATTATCCATCCATTTCCTTTTCCATAAAAGAAACCCAGCTAGGGCCGGGCACAGTAGCTCCAGCTTGTAATCCTAACACTCTGGGAGGCCCAGGAGTTCAGAAATTAGCCAGACATGGTGGTGGGTGCCTGTGGTTCCAGTTACTTGGGAGGCTAAGGCAGTATGATTACTTATACCCAAGAGTTTGAGGTTGCTATGAGCTGTGGTGATGCCAAGCACTCTACTCAGGGCCATAGGGTGAGACTCTTGTCTCAAAAAAATAAGAAAGAAAGAAAGAAGAACCCGACCATATTTCTCCCTTAGGCTCATCTCAGCTTCTATATTGCTTTGGGACATACTACTCTAGGCCAGATCTTCCCTGAACATTAGATACCATTATTTTATTCCATAATACAAATAAATGAAGATACTTTCCAAACCATTTAAAACTGTGAATAAATGGTTTATGGACCTACTGTTGTGAGTACATCAGAATATACTGCAAGAAATTTTCAAAAATGGCAAATAGCCCACCTTCCGTTTAAACCAGAAATATGTCATGTTTTCTAGCTTTAATTGTTTTATTTAAGCTATCTCATTAATGTATTACATGTTCTCCATGCCAAGGTATTTCACTAAATAGAGGTCCCTATCCACAAATAACTTATTAGGAGAGAAAAGAAATAAATGCAATAAGATAACAGATAAAGAGGCAAACTGTACAAGAAGTTACTGTAAGAAATGCCCTCTGTTATATGTATTACACAGTGAGTACGGGTTGAATGAGTATCCCTTATTCAAAATCTTTGGAATCAGAAGTTTTCAGATTTTGGATTTTTTTGGTTTTTGGAATATTGGCATTATATCAGTTAAGTTTCCCAAATCTGAAAATGGGTAGTCTGGTATGGCCCAGTGAGCATCTCCTGTACTCCTGTAAGTGTGATGTTGACATTCAAAATGTTTCACAGTTTGGAGTATTTTGGATTTTTGGATTTGACTTGCTCAGTTTGTAGTATGTAGAACAAGCAGTATTTTTGCTATACAGAGAGAAGAGAGACTACAGTCCAAATTGCTCTTGGAAGTTGACTAAAATTACTAATTAGGGAAGGGAAGAGAGGGCATCCTAGGCAGAGGGAGAGGGCAAGAGCAAAAGCACCCGGGAGGAAAAGAACAGGATATAGTTACAGGGTATGAGATTGAAAGTTCTAGAGAACATTTGGTAATTTGAAGAGGTGTCAAATATTAAAATACACAGATCTTAGCATCCCTTCTGAAATCCCTTGCCTGAGACTGAAAGTTTGAGGTTGCTGTGAGCTATGACTGACATCATGGCACACTACCCAGGGTGTTAAAGTGAGACTCTGGATCAAAAAAAAAAAAAAAAAAAAAAAACATCTTCAGAATATTCCACTGTTTGGAATATGATCAGTGAGTATTTTATTAAATGGATGAGAATAAAAGCAAATTTTACGAAAGACTCAGAAGTACTTAAAGGGAAATGAGTATGGACAGTAACATGCGCCAGATAATCTGGTCTGTAAGGTATCTTCACTTTCTGGCTGCTTTCCCAGTGAGCCATGCTACCTTGTTTTTGAGTTGCCTAAGGCAAGAGGGGGTCAGCTTTTATCTAACTCCCCGGGAAATTTCAGATACATCCAGATGCTTCAAAACCCAGGTCACTGAGCCAAGTTCATTTTCCTGTCTGATGGCATTTTCTGTAGATAATTGACATCAGAATGCTTACCGCTAACCACAGGAATATGACCTTACTCTTTGACTTTTGGTCATTTTGTCTTTGAATTCCTTGAATTCTTGAGACAACTTTTGAAATGCTCCTTGAATTTCTAATTCTAACTTTACCTCCATTCTTTTAATCTTACTTGCAATCCAAATTCTGAATTCGATTTTTGACATCTCAGCCATTTGTTTATGAGTGGGATCTTTTATTGAGTCCTCCATGTTGTTCCTTGGGGGAGCTGATCTATCCTGGTTATTCATGTTACCGGAGGTTTTCTGCTGATTCTGCCCCATGATTATTTTACACCCTTTGGCTAGATGAACAGATAAGGTGAAGTTGGGTTGGGGGCTCCTGGAGTAGTGATTAACCAGCCCTTTGCCCAAGACCTGGGACTGGTGTCTGTACCTTTTCCCCAAGAGCTTTGCAAAGGACCTATACAGTGCTACGGCCTGAGACACTGGGGGTCTGCTTGGTGTGGTGGAGTTAAGTGGCTCTGTCTTGTTTTCAGCTCGTCTCTGTCCTACCCTAGTGAATCAGTTACTCTGGGTCAAAGTCTCAGCTATGGTGAAATACCAGCAATTAAGTCACCCTTCCTCCCCATGTTCAACTTCTGGAAATGGAAAATCAAACCCACAACCACACACCCAGGGTACCACTTCATTTTGTCACCCTCAATAGAATACTGTTGCGTCATAGCTCACAGCAACCTCAAACTCTTGGGCTTAAGTGATTCTCTTGCCTTAGCCTCCCAAGTAGCTGGGACTACAAGTGCCCAGCTATTTTTTGGTTGTAGTTGTCATTATTTGGTGGGCCTGGGCTAGATTCAAACTTGCCAGCTCTGGTATATGTGGCTAGTACCTAGCTGCTTGAGCTACAGGCGCTGAGCCCCAAATATTAATTTCTAGATAAATTTTTAAAAAAACATAGCTAATCATATTTTATTTTGTTTTAAAAAGCCAATAATGTAGTGCCAAGTATGTGTCAGGCAATGGGAAGTAAAGTTATAAATCCTGCCTTTGAAGGAGCTAAGGAGGGAATATAGAAATGTGGGGACTTTTTCACCAGGTTTTAAGTATGAAATTTTCAAATAATAGCCTTTTTCTTTTTCTTAGAAACTGCTGTGTTACAGAAGAGGATGTGACTTTTCAGAATAATCCTGAGCAAGAAGGATGAGTCCAGATGTGCCTCTGCTGAATGATTACAAACAGGACTTCTTTCTGAAGCGCTTTCCACAGACTATTCTTGGAGGCCCTCGACTCAAATTAGGCTATCGTGCCCCTCCATACATATATGTTAATCAGATTATCCTTTTTCTACTGCCATGGGCTTGGGGTGGAACAGCAACACTTTTATATCAACTAGGCATCCTGAAAGACCATTCTACAGCAGCACTTTCAGGTGGATTAATGCTCTTCACTGCACTTGTCATCCAGTTCACAAGCTTATATGCCAGAAGCAAATCTGTGACAGTACAAAGAATACGAACCACAGATATCTTAGCAGAAGAAGATGAGTATGAATTTACAAGTTGTGCTAATGCTGAGACCGTCAAATTTCTAATTCCTGGCAAGAAATACATAGCCAATATACTTTTTCATTCTGTTCTCGCTGGATTAGTGTGTGGTCTTGGAACATTGTATATGCTCCCAGATAGAATAACCTCCCTGTATGGCAATTTAGTAGGCACTGCTCCACTATTTGTCTTTGGATGGATGACATTATGTATAGGAGAATATTCATTAATTGTAAATACAGCTACAGAGACTGCAACTTTTCAAACTCAGGATACTTATGAAATTACTCCTCTTATGAGACCTCTTTATATTTTGTTCTTCATTTCTGTGGATCTTGCTGACAGGTAAAAACCTACCAAGTGCTTTATGATTTGCTTTGTTTTTAAGTGTACATGGTAGGAGAACTTAGTATTAAAAAAAAAATGAATGTGTGATTAAAAATCATCAAGACCAAACCATTGGGTAATAGGCTGTTAGTGATTAATCTTTTAGGACTGATCTCTATAAAACATTCATACTAAAGCAGTACTGAAATCTTATTGAAGAGTTTTAAAAAACCCACCCTTTTAAGGATAATTATATAAGGAGTTTTTCAATGCTGTGTTTCACTTGATATAAGAAGCTGTAAATCTACAAGATAGCCTGGCTGAAACCTGTGTAAAGAGGGTGAACTCTCCTAGGGGCAAAAAATTAAGAATTTAAAATTTATACATAGAACTACCTAACAAATGCAAACAGTGTAACTTAACTGTACCTTCATATTAATCTGAAATTTAAAAAAATAAAATAGGGGCTCAGCAAATACTTGCTAATTGATTGATTAAAAAATAAAATTTATGTGTATATTTGCATATAGAGTGAATTTAAGATGAAAAATTATTTCCACTTTTATGATAGCAACAATATTAGAAGGAATACTGATTTTTTTAACCAATTTGTTACAGAAGAGAAATAGAAAATAGTTTTAACAGATAATCATTTACCAAATTGTTTGATAACTCCTTTTCTTTGCCTTTTCTAAATTTGACTTTTATTTCTCTGTTTCTATGGATTGCAGCTTTCTCATCCCTGGTTAGTGTCAAGGTAGAAATGTAAAGGCATGTTATGAACTGAATGTTTGTATTTCTCCTAAATTTATATATTGAAGTCCTAAACCCCAATACGATGGTATTTGGAGTTGGGGTATTTTGGGAGGTACTTAGGTCATGAAGGTGGGACCCTGGTGTGATGGGGTTAGCCTCTGTGAGGAAAGATACCAAAGAGCTTGATCTCTCTCTGCCATGTAAGGACACAGCAAGAGGACAGCCGTCTGTTAACCACAAAGAGAGCTCTCAGCAGAACCTGACTGTGCTAGCAGCCTGATCTTGGACTTTCAGTTCCTCCAGAACTGTTTTCTGTTATCTGAGCTGCTCAGTCTGTAGTATTTTGTTATGGCAGCCCAAGCTAAGATTTTGGTACTGAGAAGCAGGATGCCTAAAAATGTAGAAGCAATTTTGTAACTGTTGGTGATGTGTGGCTGCTGGAAGAGTTTGAGGTACGTGCTACAGACTAAGGGGGATTCTGATGAAGTCTGAGATGGAAGGAACATGTTATTGGAAACTGGAGGAAAGGCAGTCCTTGTTATAAAGAGTCATAGAGTCTAGCTGAACCCTTTTCTGGTGTTTTGTGGAAGGTAGAACTTTTAAGTGTTTAAATTGCATATAAGGAAATTTCAAAGCAGAGTATTACAGGATTAGCTTCGTTTCTCCTGACTACTTGTAGTAAACTACAAAAGGTGATAGATGAATTGAAGAAATTTTTTAAAAAGAAACCAGAACTTGAAGGTACAGAAAATTCTCAGCCTATCCATAACATAAAACATGAGAAAGCATATTCTGAAGAGAACACCAAGGATGTGGGACCTGTCACTCACTAAAGAGCTCGTGGTGTTATATGAGCAGAAACACTGCCAGTTTGAATTGAAGGGGCTGGACACAGTGTGAAATGAAGGAAAGCTGTCAGAATTCTTGGGTTTGACAGGATGGGTTGATAGAACTATTCACCTGCCAACATGCACCATGCACACTAGTTATTCTTCAAGAAAAGAGGAAAATGCTAAAGGTGATTCAGAGATCATCAGGGCTACTACCTCAGCCAAGTAGATGGCTTCCTTCCAGAGTCTTAGGAGCAGGACCCCTGCCTAGATCTGGGTAAGGGAAGTTGATACTACCTGCCACCCAAGGGGCCTAGATGACAGAGTACAAGATCTAATAGAATTTGTCTTGCTAGGTTTTGGACTTCTGTCCCACCATAGTATTTTGGAAGCACATAACTTCTCTGTGCTATCACAGGTTCACAGCTGGATGGAGTTTTGCTTTAGTATGGATTATATTTAAATCTTACCCTTATTTAGATGATATTTAAGTGAGACTTTGTACTTCAGACTTTTAGCGTTAATTCTGCAATGAATTAACTCTTTGGAGGCTGTTGGGATGGAATTAATGTATTTTGCATGTGAAAAGGACATGAATTTGGGGGAGGTGGCCAAAGATGTGATATTACAGACTGATTGTGTTGCCCTAAAATGCTTATGTTGAAGCCCTAAGGCCCGATGTGAAGGTATTTGGAGGTGGCGCCTCTGGAAAGTAGTTAGGTTTTGAAGGTGGTCCCCACTGTGATGGATTAGTGCCTCAGAGCTTGCTATCTGCCTTCTCTTCTCTCTCTTTTCCCCTCTCCTTCTCACCACCCCATGCCATGTAAAGACACAGCAAGTAGGCAACCATCTATAAATCAGAAAGTGATCCTTTACCTCACTGTACTGACAGCCTAATCTTAGACTTTAGAAATTGTGGGCAAATAAATTTCTGTTGGTTAAGCCACCTACTCTATGGTATGTTGTTATGGCAGTCAAGCTGACCTAACATAAGGCATTTAAAAATTAGTTTGTGTAATGAATCTGACTTCTTCCTTCTCCAGTGGCTGTTTGCTGTTCCTTAACTCATAATCTCTTCTAATTGTGCCACATTTATAAACCAGAAGAAAATATAATATTCATGCAGTTCTTTACCTAATCATACATTAAAGAAGCATTACTAAGAAATTTATTATAAGTTGATTTCTTAATAGCACTACTACTTACCATAAAAAATATTACAGTTAAATGCTTGATTTTGAAAAGTTAGTAAAATTGAGTTTAAATGGTAGGTATACTTATTATGATCCCTTTTAAAAGATTTAAGCTTATAAGATTATTTTCAGGATACACATTCTTGAGTTCCTATCTGACTGTGCCATTTCTGAAATGAGACATTATATCCTTGCCTGAATACACTGTTGCATTTGAAATAATTTCCTAAGTTGTTTAAGTTTTTTTAATATCAGTTAATTTTTTTATATTTCATTTCATTTATTTATTTTTATTAAATCATAGCTGTGTACATTAATACAATCATGGATGCAATGTGCTAGCTTTATATACAAATAGAAATATTTTCATCAAACTGGTTAACGTAGCCTTCACCGCATTTTTGTAGTTATTGTGTTAAGACATTTATATTCTACACTTAGTAGATGTCACATGTACCCTTGTAAGCAGCACCGTAGGTGTGGTCCCACCAATTACCCTCCCTATACCAATCCTACCCCTCCCCTCCTGTCTCTCTCCCCTTTCCCCTTCTTCTTGGGCTATAATTGTATTATAGCTTTCTTAGTAGGGCTGAGTACATTGGATACTTTTTCTTCCATTCTTGGAATACTTTGCTAAGAAAAATATTCCAGCTCCATCCATGTAAACATGAAAGAGGTAAAGTCTCCATCTTTCTTTAAGGCTGCATAATATCCCATGGTGTACATATACCACAATTTATTAATCTATTCATGGGTCGATGGGCACTTGGGCTTCTTCCATGACTTAGCAATTACAAATTGGGCTGCAATAAACATTCTGGTACAAATATCTTTGTTATGATGTGACTTTTGGTCTTCTGGATATATACCTAGTAGAGGAATTGTAGGATCAAACAGCAGGTCTATTTTTAGATCACTAAGTATTCTCTAAACTTCTTTCCAAAGGGAACGTATTAGTTTGCATTCCCACCAGCAGGGTAGAAGTGTTCTCTCTTCTCCACATCCATGCCAACACCTCTAGTTTGGGGATTTAACAGACATCTACAGAACATTTCATCCTACCAAAATTGAATACACATTCTTCTCATTAGCCCATAGAACATCCTCCAAAATTAATCACATCTTAGGTCACAAGTCTAACCTCAGCAAATTTAAAAGAATAGAAATTATTCCTTGCATTTTCTCAGACCATCATGGAGTAAAAGTTGAACCCAGTAACAACAGGAATCTGCATACTCATACAAAAACATGGAAATATTCTCCCATTCTGAGGTTGTCTATTTGCTTTACTTACTGTGTTCTTGGCTATGCAGAAGCTTTTTAGTTTGATCAGGTCCCAGTAATGTATTTTTGGTGTTGCTTCAATTGCCTGGGGGTTCTCCTCATAAAATATTCACCCAGGCTAATTTCTTCAAGTGTTTTCCCCGCACTTTCTTCTAGTATTTTTACAGTTTCATGTCTAAACTTTAAATCTTTAATCCAGTGAGGGTCTATCTTAGTTAATGGTGAAAGGTGTGGGTCTAGTTTCAGTCTTCTACAGGTCACCAGCCAGTTCAACCAGCACCATTTGTTCAATAGAGAATCTTTCCCCCACTGAATGTTTTTAATTGGCTTCTCAAAGATCAAATAATGGTAAGTATCTGGGTTCATCTCTTGGTTCTCTATTCTGTTCCATACATCTACCTCTCTGTTTTTCTGCCAGTACCATGCAGTTCTGGTCACTGTCAATTCATAGTATAGTCTGAGGTCTGGTAGCATGATTCCTTCTGCTTTGTTTTTATTTCTGAGTAATATCTTGGCTATTCGAGGTTTTTTCTGATTCCATATAAAATGAAGTATTATTTTTTTGAGATCTTTAAAGTATGACAGTGGAGATTTAATAGGGATTGCATGGTAGGTAGGTAATATGAACATTTTAACAATGTTGATTCTTCCCAGCCATGAGCATGGTATGTTTTTCCATTTTTTAACATCTTCAGCTATTTCTTTTCTTAGAGTTTCGTAGTTCTCTTTATAGAGATCTTTCACATCCTCTGTTAAGTAAAGTCCCAAATATTTCATCTTCTTTGGCCCTGCTGTGAGTGGAATAGAATCCTTGACTTTTTTTCATCTTGACTATTGTTGGTATATATAAAGGCTACAGATTTATGAGTGTTGATTTTGTAACCTGAGATGCTGCTGTATTCCTTGATCACATCTAAGAGTTTTGTTATTGAATCCCTGTTGTTTTCCAGATATA